CGACCCCACCCCACCCCAACCCCAGAGCCAGTTCTGCTTGAAGCACTCCCTTGCGCTCAGTATCTCGCTCAGGGCAAGTTGTGTTACTCCCTCAGTTTCAGTTCCTCTCTCTGCTGGGGCTCGGATGAATAAGGTTATGCAAATAGCATGAAATGCAGCAGAGCTCAGTTGTGCACACTGAGCCAGGTAAAAGGGGAGACCATGTTGTGTGCCATGGAGTGTAGCTACGCCACAACCCCGCCGCGGGGTGCATGGCCGTGGGGCGGCTGGAGGCGTGGTGGTGAGGCGGCCACCTGGTCTGTGAACTGCATGGGTCTACTGCCCACACTTTGAAGAGCAGTGGTTCTCAATCAGGGGTATGCGTACCTCTGGGGGTACGCACAGGTCTTCCAAGGGGTACATCAACTCATCTGGATATTTGCCTAGTTTTACCACAGGATGCATTAAAAGCACTAGCAAAGTCGGTACAAACTAAAATTTCATACAGACACTGACTTATTTATACTGCTCTATATGCTATACACTAAAATGTAAGTACAGTATTTATAGTCCAATTGATTTATTTTATAACTACATGGTAACAATGAGAAAGTCAGCCATTTTTCAGTAGTAGTGTGCTGGGACGCTTGTATTTTTATGCCTGATTTTGTAAGCAAGTGCTTTTGAAGTGAGGTGAAACTTGGGGGTATGCAAAACAACCGTTCTATGCCTGGAAAGGTTGAGAGCCACGCTCTAGAGCATAGGAGTCACCATACTGGGTTGGACCCGTGGTTCATTTAGCCCAATATCCTGTCTCTACCAGCGGCCAGCCCCACTGCAGCTTCTCCTAGAGGCCATAGGAAGACCTCTGTCCTAGCTGCACCAATGTCCCCACGCCCTGGCTCTGGGTGGTTGGTGGAGGAAACACACAGTCCTTCCCTGGCTTTGCATAGGTGGCTAGACTTTTATCCTACAACTCAATCGATACCTCAGTCCTGTAGCAGGGATCAGTGCCAGTGCAGGCCCCTGCCACAGATAAGTGTACCTCAGCTATGAGCTAGGCTGTTGGCAAGTGGGCATCAATACACATCACTCCCCCAGCCAAGGCACCACGTACATCCTCCTTATGCCCTAAGCCTTGGGCTAGCCTTCTGCAGAGAGATCAGTTTCACCCCAAGTGCATTGTGGGATACCGATCCCATAATGCCCGTCAGATCGCCGGAGCAGTGTGTAGCCCAGTAGCAGATGTAGGGCTGGAGGTATAGGCTGGCAACACTTTTATTTTTAAGCATCTATTTATTTATTTTATAAATAAGATGGTCATTGATGCAGCAAACCACAGTGCTGTGAAGAAGGGACTAGAAGAGGATATATCTGCACCTGCTAATAATGTACCACATTTGTTAAGTCCCAGTGATCCTCATCACCTATAACTGGCCCTGTCCTGCCCACACAGGAAGGCGTCATGGGTTAGGGTAAGAAGGACACTTCCCATACTAGCTGTGAGCTCTGATGTGAGGGTCCTATTATGATCATTACAGTATATGTGTTTGTGTTTCTCACCAGGTCCATCCACCCCTTGCAGACATGGTTGTTCCAGTGCATTCTAGGACTCACCTGTCCAGTAGTTCCTGGGTGAAGGGGCTTGTGGGAATTTCTTAACACAAAGCACTGAATTGTGGGATGGAGGTCACTAGTGGGGGTGGAAGCCAGGGCAATTCTTGAGGGAAGAAACCAGTACCTGTCCAGACAAACCTGAGCTAATGACCGTGTCCCACGCTTTACAGGCAGCTAGGTCACCCAAACCTTGGAAGCACCTAGGGATGCCTTGAGGGATCATGAGCCCAGGGCATCCAAACAAGGGTTGCTTGCAATGACTTTTCACCTGCTATAGATAGAGCTCCTAAAGTAATCCTTTAACCCTTGACTTGCTGAATCATATTACATGTTCCTGCTCGATGGAGCAAAGATGTTTTCCCATCTTCACCATCCTTCCTCCCAGGGGCTCATGGCCTAAACTCCACAACATACATACATACACTGAAGTGTTCAGCCAAAGGGCCAGGCTCTGCACTCTTCCCCGGGTGGAAATCTGGTGTCACTCCACTGAGTGCCAAGGTGTGACTCTGGATTTATACCAGTGTAACTAAGATCAGAATCTACTCTGGAGATCTTTACTTAGCACTACCTGAACTCCAAACTTCTGCTGCTCCTAGCCTTAACGTGATATCCAGGAATAACACACAGAGCGGGGTTCATTCTGATCTTGTATATATGGGTGTAAATCATGAATAAGTCCATTAAATTAAATAGGCGAGCTCCTTAGCTGGTGTCAATGTACAAACATACACAGATGCACATACACATGTGTGTGCACATACATTCTCACACTGATTCACATGGTGTCGCACACTTTCACTCGCATGCCCCTGGTAAATGTGGTAAACCCACTCCTGTACCGTCCACTAAAAGAGAAACCCACACAGGCTGCCATGCTCCAGTAGAGGTGATCTGTGAATTTGCATACGCCTGCAAAATGTTTGTAACAAACTCTCTGGTATTTAAAAAAGAAAACACCCGGAACAGAAACTCCCCAGATATCAAAGACAGAGAGAGAGAGAGAGATGACCACTTTTCTGGGCCACATCTTCAGCTGGTGGAAATCAGCATAGAGCTATTTGAAGACAATGGAACTATGTAAATACACACCAGTGGGGGATATGGCTGCGTGACTCCAAGGAGCAATGCTGATTTAAATCAGCTGGAGATGTGGCCCCAGAATGCCAGTTATATTACACCAGCTATGGATTTGGCCCTATGGACTATAAAGCAGTGATGCCGAATCTGATTTACAGCAGATTGGGCTGCGTCCCGGCACCAGTTAGAAAATCACCTCTCCAACAAGCAGTTGTTTAATTAATATGTTTATCCTGCTGTCACACAGTTTGCGGGACACAAGGCCCTGCACCCCCGGCTTCCTGCAATTCACCATGACTCTCAGCCAGCCAGTAAAACAGAAGGTTTATTTAGATGACAGGAACACAGTCCCAGACAGGTCTTGCAGGTACAGACAACAGGACCCCTCTCAGTCAGGTCCATCTTGGGGGCTAGGGGAGGTCAGGAGGTCTGTCTGGCCTCCCCTCCATTTTCACAGCCAGCTCCAAACTGCAACTCTCCAGCCCCTCCTCTCCCTTTGTCTCTTTCCCCGGGCCAGGAGGTCACGTGATCTTCAACCCCCCACCTGGGTTCTCATGTTACATGCTCAGGTATCTTCCCTCAAGCAAAGTCTCCCATCCCCAATGCAGACAGCCCCAGTAAAACTCCCCTGCAACCTTCCCAGGTCAATACTCCCCACTCCCTGGCTGGGAAAATGGAGGGGAGGCCAGACAGACCTCCTGGCCTCCCCTGGCCTCCAAGATAGACCTGACTGAGGGGGTCTTGCGAGGAGCAATGGGATGAAATAAGAAAAGGACGTTTGAGGGCGAATGGCCCCGATTCTGATCTCACTCACATCGATGTCAGTTCGGGGTGAGTCCCCTGAAGCCAGTACAGCCTCTGCATTTACAGCAGCGCACCTGAGATCAGACTCTGGCCCCGTGTCAGGAAGAACAGCCTGGCAATGAGATCTACCAGGCCGGGGAATTGCAACCTCTTGGGGGAAGGGCGGGAGCCACAGTTAATGCTAGAGCCCTGAGGGGAACAACCCCGCCCTGGGCCCCAGTATGGGAGGGAAATGGATTAGACGGTCCAATGCCAGTCACCTTCTCCACCTCTGCTTTCCATGATCCTGTCCCACAGCTCCACTCGCTGCAATAGCCGCCCAGCGTGTAGAGCAGTGATACTCGGACCTCAGTGGCTCAGGCGCCAAATTAGCCATCACCGTTACGCAAAAGCGCCACAGTAGGTGAATTCATTGTTTCATTGACTATAGTACTATTCATATTGAAACAGTGTGATGGGAAATATGTAGTTTCATATCTGTACATATTATTCGCACAGCAAGTAAGTTAGTAGCTTAGTGTAGGTTGATAACTCAATGGGTTAATAACATAGTAAAAGCATCCAGATTGGTTAATAACTTAGATCAGGTAATAATTAAATCAGTGTTTTAATATCATGTGCTGAAAAAAGCCAAAGAAGACACATTAAAGAGTCTCTTGCAGCTCACGAGCGGCAGTCCGAGAATCATTGATTTAGAGGGATGATAGCTCCAGAGCAGTCCCACGTGGGGCAGGCTGTGTGACACCTCCCCTTCACTGCTGTGGATTCAGGGACTCAGCTAGCACTGCCGTTCGCAGATCCAGTGCTCAGTCGAAGAGCAGGTGGCATTGTTCCAGTTCCCGTCAGAGTGCAGGGTGCCACACTCTTCAGCAGCATTGTTGGGTTCCCCGGGCCTCCAGAAACTGAGAAGGAAACCGAAGCCACGTGAAATTAGAGGTCTCTGATTTGAAAACCTAATCCTTGTAGGTGGTGTGAAATGAGCGAGCTCCTAGGGGACAGGTCTCCACATCACCGACGCCAATGAGCACTGACTGGTCTGATAGTTTTAGCAGAGAGAGTCCAGGTGGGCATGGACTGATCTCCTACTCACTCCTTGAGGTGGTGTCTGGAGGTCAGGGCCATGGCAGGTTGGTGCTAGCCACTGAATAGGGGGAAGCTGGCCCAGCCACTGCTCAAGCCAGAGCTGTTCTCAGCTTGGACGACATCAGTTTCCAGTGCATTTTACAGGTGAGGAAACTGAGGCATAGAGCAGGGAGAGACGTGCCTCATAGTCGGCCAGCAGAGAACACTAATAGGGCTGGGACTAGAACCCAGGAGTGCTGCCTCCTTCTCCATGGCCCTGTCCCCTGGGCCATGTTGCTGTTCTCCCCAACACCTTTCGTTTGCAGGACATTCAGAATGCCCCATGGTCAAGCAGCTTTCTGCTCCCCAGGAACATCCCAGGACCTGCCCCTGCTCTGTGCTGACCCTGGATGACATTAGCATGGAGGCAGTAGCAGACTCATAACCTTCTTTACATGCTTTAGCCACTAAAGTGGACCAGAGACCCCTTTACTATTGGTATCAGTGCTCCATCTGGCTCTTTAGCGGGACAGGAGATAAAGCAGAAACAGCTGATTGTAAGGGACAGTTCTCTCTCCAAAGAAACTGAACAAAGAGGGACTTGCCTGAGAGACAGGAGGCTGCCGTCCACCCACCGCCACTCCCCTTCCTTCGCTGAGTCGCTGAGGCCGAGCCAGTACACGTCGGGGTTAGTGATTTGGTTTGACAAAAACATCTATGTGGGAAAACAGGTGAAGGAGACAATCATGATCCCAAGCAGAAGGTGAGGGGGGAAGTGAGGGGGTTTCATGGGGCCCGTGTTTGTGGCCAGCAGAGTCTGTTGCTGTAGATTCTCACCCCTCCCTCTGTTTTCCCAGCCCTTTACATTAGGGCTGCCACCCTACATTCCCATGATGCACCAGGCACTCCCATGATGCATTGCTTCCTCTCTTCAAGAGGAATGGCCATTGTGCATCATGGGAGATGTAGACTGACCTCTAAAGAATGGGGGCCTGAGGCATCCAAACTACAGCTCCCATGAGGCATTGCAGCAGCATTTCCAAACTGAAATGTTTCGATTTTCAGTCAAAAAATTGCAATGTAGAAATGTTTGCCCCAAAAATGAAATTTTCCACAGGAAAAGAAAAGATCATTTTCTGACCAGCTGTACTTCAAATGCTTCATCTCTGCCCTTAGCCCTGAAAATTTCCCCTTTAGAATGGGAGGTGAATGCTGGCCTGCTTTTTGTGACGTATGTACAGCACCTAGCACAACAAGGCCCCGATTGGTACTTCTAGGTGCTACCACAATACAGATAAGTGATAATAATAAGGCTGAATATTACGCTGCTGTTGCCTGAGGACTGCAGATCATTTTCAATCCTTCTACAGCTGCTGAGGGTCTGCCTCTGGGGACTGTGAAATCCATGGCCATAGGTCTCCTCCATGCAGGGGGACCAAGGAATCATCTTACAGTCCCTGTTAAGTCCCATTCTGCACCCTGGTTACTGGAGGAGCCTTAAATCCAGAACTGAAGAGGGGATAGCGAAATACACACGCTATGAGCTGTGCTGCTCGTGAGTCAGATTCACACCAGTACCTTGCCCACCTCTGCACTACATGGGCATCCTCCCAGCACCAACTAGTCTCCCAAAGTCCTGTTCCCAGCAGGCACCGGGCTCAATTTAAAACTTAAGGTGGATTCTCCTTCAGGGCAGGATTCCTTCTCCAATGTCTTGATGAGGAATCTGGAATAGGGTCTTCAACAGGATATCAAAAGGCCTTTCCTAGTGTAGTAGTGAACTGCTGTGAAAAGCATTTTACCTCTGGGTCAGCAGCTGAAATCCTGCCCAGGTCAGAAGCAATCAAATGTTATTTTTAGGTCCCCATGAAACTCTGTGATTTGGATTCACACGGGATTGGAACTGCCCCCAACACACACATGAATTTTGATTCACATCAAACCATCCACATCTGACACACAACATTTTTCAAATGACTGTCAGTATCCAAGTCCCCTCAATGTCCCTTGAGCAGCAAGCTACACCCAAAGATATTGCTAAATTCCTGGAGAACTTGGGCCAGACTGTGATCTCAGTTATGCTGGGGTAAATCTAGAGAAACTCCAGATTCACCCTGGTGGAACAGCACAGAATCTGGCCCCTTGAGCTTAATTCCATCCATTCTGCATGATACACAATAGGAATCTGAGTGGCTGGCTTACCTGTTCCTCTTCGGTGTTAACAATAACCAGGCCAGACCCGTGATCGGTACAGAACTGCTTAGCATCCTGCCAGGATTTAGCTGATGTTGAAAAGAAGTAGCAACTTTTCTGAAACTGCTGCCAGCCAGGTGGACATTTTATGGAGGTGAATTCTGTGAGAAGTCAAAATTATTGGACAAACCTGGATTAGAGAGTGAAAATGCAGTCCAAGTGCTCACAAGCAGTTAAAGAAATTCTAGCATTTATTCAGTATTTGGACTTATTAATAAATTTCACGAAGAAATTTCCCCCCAACCTCCTGAAAAGTTTGCCAAATAGTTTGTTGCAAATATTCATACATTTA